GGGGGGGGGGGATAGCAATTATTCCATTAGTGCCAGCTACTTTAATTACTGGCCTAATGGCTCATGTTCTTCATGACAATGGAACTATTCCTCCTATAAACCCTACACCAATTGTTAGCAACATCCTACTTCAAGGTCAGACTATGCCTCTTATCTGAAAACCAAGCACAGCTAGGTATTTGAGCCTGTGCTGGTTGTAATGATTTCTATGGGAAAAAAGCCAGCTGAAATTTCTGAGTGCAGCACAGAGGAAAACCCTAAAGCTCTCACCAGGCGGCCATGGCCATGCATTATCCGCGCCCTTCCACCTTCCTGCAGTCACCCTGGCTGTGCTCTTCATCCTCCTGAGCCTGAGGCGTCCCTAACCCCAGGCCTCCAGCCACTGTGCTTTCATCACCTTGCACACGTCCGTGCCTGTGCCGGTGGAGTCCAGGAACCGGCGCACGGCCTCTGTCGTCATCCCTCATGACTTCTCTTCTCACCAGCCGTGCTCCAGTCACTCCTAGCTGCTCGCCGTTCCTCACCTGAACTGCAGTTCTCTGCCTCTTTCCCTTTTCCTGTTCCCATTTGTTTTTCTAGAATGGTTTCTTTATTCTTTTTTTGTTTTGGGTTTGTTTGTTTTTTTAAGACAGGATCTCGCTATTTTAGTTCAAGCTAACCTCGAACTATGTAGCCCAGGCTGGCCTCAAACTCACAGCAAACCTCCTGCCTCAGCCTCCCGAGTGCTGGGATCACAGGTGTGCATCACAACGCCCGGCCAGTTTCTTTTTATTCTTGATGTTCACCCACAGCCTTCTCTGAGCTCAAGTGACTCCCAAGCTCCAAACCCCTCTCAGTTCCTCATCCAAGGCTCTCGTAAGTGTGCTCTTCCTGCCTTTTCAGACAAGCTCACATCTTTCTCTGAAACTGGGGAGGATCCTGATGTTCTAGCTCTCAACATTCTCACAAGCAGCTACACATGGGGCTGATAACTGGGTCTCAGCTGACGTCTCAGAAGCCACCGCTCTCCGACCAGCCTGGCTCAGGTGCCCTGGATGCCTGTTCCTGACTCAGACCCTGATTATTTGACTGATGGATATGTGAATGGAACCTTGCTTTGACCCTGACAAAGCCTATTCTGCTCAGAAAGATTTTCTCATGACCCTGAATACTGATGATGAACTTTAGCCCATGGCTGGTACCCTGGCGCAGGCTGGCAAGATGTCCCCATTGCTGACTGCTTGGCTACCTGAGCATTTCCTGCTCCTCTTGTCCCCTGTGACAAACTGTTAGGTCACCAGCTCCACACTGGGCCCCTTTACTCCAGATGCTGCCGTTGCCTACCACCTCGACATATGAAATCTTGACTGGGGTCTATCCCTGACCAAAGCCTTAAAGACTCAGTAGGGAGGCGTCATTCAGTTGCTGCTACATCTGCTCCTCCACGACGCCTTCCATGCTCTGAGTTAGAAATGAACTGTCCTATTCCACACTGTAGCAGTGTATTTGCTACCCCACCTCTCATGGATCCTTCCACTTTCTGCCTTAACTGGCTTATTTATATGCACCTTCCAACTTTACCATGTGACAAGAGCCACATCCTTCACTGGCCTACAATAAACACCAAACACAAATTTGATGAACTGAATTACATCTGCAAGTCAACATATTTACTGCTGTATATTTTATTTGTATTATTTTGATATGTTTTTTATTTTCTTTTTTCTATCTTCATACAATCTTAGAATACCAAATATAAAAAGAGTTTTAGGAAGCTTTTGAGTTTAGTATCCTGACATATAGTTGAAGAAACTGAGCTCCTGAAAGTGAAGGGCTACACTAAACTTTCTGGAGTCGACACATAAAATCAAGAGGGTTTTTTGTGTTTTTTTTGGTTAAAATAAGTTTGAGATGCTACTGAAATCCAAGAAGATCTGTCAATTGGACAGATAGTCAGCCTACATAGATGTGAGTCAGTGGAGCTGACCCCAAAGTCTAGGGGCTTAGCAATGACTTTAGGACTGGAAATGTAATTTGGGACAGGACAGCAAATAGATGAAACACAATGTTGTGCCTTTCCCACTCCAAGAAATCCCTCTTCTCCAGAAAAAGAACAAACGTGATTCTAGCCATGAAGAGCAATTTTCTCATTAAATATGAAGAACAGGCTCAAATATTAGCCCAGAGCTCTAACTGCCCTAATCTACAAGCAGGGAATAGGACGTTTTGTCCCACAGAACCCTTCTAAGCTTCCACCACAGCCTACTGAACGTAAAGAAAATCAGTGGGAAACTGAGGGCATTCGCATCAGGAACCCGACCTAGGTCTCCACAGCCTACCATTGTCAGCCGGGCTTTACGTAAATAAGTGAGAAGGTCCCCCCCTTCCATCAGCTCCAGGATGAGGTACTGGGGCTCATTCAACAGACAGACGCCGAGCTGCTTCAGAATGTTGGGGTGATCAAACTTGCTGGAAGGTAGAAAGACACACTGGGTGACCACGCAGGGACAGGAGTCCCCACTGAGGGTCTTTACAGAACAGAGCAATCCCTGCCCAGAGCTTCCTTCTGAAGGCCTGGCTGACTTCAGGAGCGGCAGCCTTCCCTCCTGCTCCACCTGCTTGCCTGAGGAAGGTAACGTGGCAGCCCCTAGTGGCCAGTGCATATGGTAGACTAGGGCAGATTTTAGAAATAACGTCTATATTGCATATAGTTTATGTTTTGGAAAGAAAGCAGTTTTGACCAATATTTGTCTTCAAACAGTATTTGAAGACATTATATTTTTGGTCACCACAGGGGTGAAATATGTTATCACTCCCTTTTAGAAAACTAACTCAGACCAGCAAGTTCCGGCTACATTGCTCTCTTAAAACATCAAAATACATAAGCCCCAGTCAGTGACTGGAGCCTGGGGCTGGATCCCAGGAGCCTCAGCCTGGGGTCTGCTCAGGAGTGATTACTTTTCATGACCACAAACTGACTGAAACCTTGGGGACAAGGTTACTGGACAGCAGATGCCATCACTGGCACCATGATGCTTCTTTGAGCATTGTGCTCGGTTTAGCTGACGCCTTATCACACATTTGAGAAGAACACAAGTGCTTTTAAACCTGAACATCTTCCAAATTTACTTGCAAAACACTCTCCTTCCAGGCTGGGATTTAGCTCAGTGGTTCCACCACCTGCCTCGCAAGCGCAAGGTCCTGAGTTCGATCTCTGGCACCAAAACAAACAAACAAACAAACACTCTCCTTCCTGCAAGCCAAAGAAAGGTGACCTTTCATCTGAGGATGGCCTGTACCGGGCTCAGAAGACTGGCTTCTATAGAATATTTGCTACTAGAAAACTTTCCTTTTAAACCTTTAAACCATGCTTTATTTGAGCCAGATCTGTCATATCTGGTCACCCTTGATGTCGACAGTCCAACACACCAGAGAAAGAGGAGTATCCTGGAGTCGCTCTGGTACCTCATCAGATGAGCCTCCTTGAGGAATTCGACCTTCTCCTGGTCTGTGGCACCCCTCTTCAAAGTCTGCAACATAAAGATAAGTGAAGAAGCTGGTGTGGTGGTACACGCCATAATCCCAGCACTCTGGGAGGCTGGGGCAGGAGGACCCCAAGTTCAAGCCAGCCTGGGAAACTTAGCAATTAAGCAAGACCTTGCCTCAAAATAAAAAATAAAACCAGTGCTGAGGGGATAGCTCAGTGTGAAGGCCTGGGTTTAATCCCAAGTACCACACACACACACACACACACACACACACACACACACAAAAGGTCAAGTATCAATATAGCAGGTATCTCTGGGAGCTCAATGAATTAACGGACACCTTTCCCCCCAATATTCACCCTGAGAGATGGAATATATACAACATGTACATGTGCTCTGTAAAGCTCCTGTTACTGCCAGGATTCATGTAGCAAAATCTGCTAGATAAAAGGCCTACTAATATTTATATAAAGTATCTCCAAAATATACAAATTTTAGAAAGAGATCCATTTACAAGTCAATATTTTATGCTTCAAATCTTTCTACTCAATATCTATTTCCTTGGTGCTCTTGTTAACAATACCCTAGTTTATTTCGTGGAGGCCTGGTGCTCCAGTGTTGGTAATTGATCTAAAGTAGTTATAAAAATTTGTTCTGAAATTCTCCAACCTCCTTTGCAAATACAACTGGTCACCTAACTTGGTTCTAGCCAACGAGATGTAAAAGAAACATTGCTGAGGAAGAGAGAGGTCTGTGGATTGAGTGAAGATGTGAAGCCCAGCTCTTTGGACTATGGGGCAGCAAGCATCAACAAAAATCAAGAGAATTTCAGAGGTGCTAGGTCTGACCTCACATGCAATTGTACCAAGGTCAGCAGTGATCCTATTCTGTGAAAAAAAATCAAATAAACATTTGCTTAAACCAGCTGGAGGCTGGAGTAAATTAAAGGACTTTTGAAAGGTATCATTAGGCAGTGGAAACAATGTTGCCAACTGTTGTAGTTCTATAGCCTACCCTCAAAGCAATATGTCCCCAGTGAGCAGTGATTAGGATATTGCTCAATTACACAAAAGGTTTATTATGCTACTATGAAAAGAACATATAACAGAAATACGAGAGTGTAGCCAATGCTTTCTTAAAAACACATTAAACATCATGACCACACCGCATGCAGGTCAGCAAGCCAGAGCTTGGGGCCAAACCCACGTGTCACGGGTTTCTAGACAGCTTGTTCTGACATGCTTAAATGGCTGAAAAAAGTCAAAAGAAGAATACTATTTAATGAGTCATGAAAATTATATGCAATTCACATTTCAATGTCCATAAATAAAGCTTTTCTGGAACAAAGCCACACTTGTTTGTTTACATATTGACAATGGCTGCTTTGGAGCTGCAGGTGGCAGAACCACTGAGCTAAATCCTTGGCCCCCTTGGTCTTGCTTCTTGAGAATGTGTTTCACAACTCTGGTTCTCTTACATTGCATTTGATGGGTAATAACTCTCTGCTGGTAACATAAACCTTGGGGATTTACTGTTGATTACAGAACCAATGTAGAAAATGCGGAAATTGTGACTTACGGATAGACATCCACATTCTATCCATCAGTCCCAACCTCTCTTCAGCTAAGAGAGCTCGACTTTTATTACAGTGCACCCACATGACGATGGTGGTTGAGGAGTTCGGAGATCTCTACCTTCACTGCTACTTTGGTTTCTCCACTTCCAACTCCTAAGGTGTCCGCGGCCGTGCCTTCATGCACTTCTCCAAAGGCTCCACTGCCCAACAAGACACGCAGAGTCAGCCTCTCCCACGGGAAGGCAGGAAGATTCTCAATCTCCTCTTGGATCGGAAGAGTACTGTAAAATAGCGAGGTGTTTGTTCTCCCCAAGTACACACGGCTGACGAGTCTGTGTTGCTTTTGAGGGAGAAAGAGCAATCTCAGGCCTTTGCAGCCCTGTTCACTCCACGTGTTGCAGTGGCGTGGAATGCTGTGCTCCCATGACACTTCTCTATCCCACCACCTTTCACACTGAACACATCACTTCACTGCCTGGCATCTTCACGTCAACAGAAATATGTGTGCACATGCTTGTGTGTGTGTGTTGTCTTGAGACTGCCGTCATAGCTAGTTCTGTCAAAGTTAGGCGTTATTAACTTCTTTAGATTGCAAATTTGTCTAAATAGCTACTGCAAATTAGCCATAGATGCATTGGGTTTATGAGCTTTTGCTTTGTTTCACACACCTGATTGCCCATGTAAAACAGAATTTACTATGACCACAAAAATTAAAAAGCCAGGCTTCTCACTTGGAATATTATGATGTAAAGAAGCCGCTAAATTTAAAAAAAGCTTTAAGTTTTTAAATGGAGACTCTAGAATATCAGATATGATGAGTATTTTCCCAAAGAAAAGTCACCTCTGAATAGCTGATTTAGGTGACTTCTGTTCCTACTTCAAATCTTTTGTTTGCATGTCTTGGACTATAAAATCTCTAGAAGCCAAGCCTGTAATTATATAATTCTTTTTTGCATAAACCATGATATGGTGTCTTGTGCAAAAATACACTTAAATATCTTCCTTAATTATGACAACAGAAATTTAAAACTCATTGATCTTAAAGAAATTTTATAGGCAATCACCATACAATTTCTGAAAGAGAACAACATTGGCATAATAGGACCCTTAAAATTTCCTCTCTTCTCAAAAACATTATCTCTAGTGAACCAGCCATGTTACCCTCTACTCTCTTCAGTGCAATATTCTTCATGTATTTTTGAACTACATGACAAAGCACTGAAAACCAATTAATTTTCCTGTGTTTCTCTCATAGCATAACCACATAATCTACTATTCTTCCTAGGTCCCTCTTGAGAGTGGAAGAAAGGGTCACTAGTAAGTATGCCAGCATAAGGGGCTGCAGAGCACTCTTCCTGTCACCCAGCCTCTGCCTGCGTGCTCTGTAAAGGGGTCCAGGCCATGTACTCTATTGCACAGCAAGCACTGGCCAGCCCCACTCTGGCCACCGGACCGCACAGCTCTGCCAACTCTTTGACTTCCGGAGTTGGAACCGTGAGTCCTTCCTTAGACGTCTTCTGATTTTTCAATCCCTTATGCCAGACTATAAGAAAGAAGACAAGTTAGACGATAAAATACTGCTTTTTGTTTCTTTAGGAAATGTTAACGCTTTTTAAATGCTTATACATAAGAATACTATTGGTAGAATAACAGGACTTGATTGAAAAAATACGCCTATAATGGAAAAACTAAATCCAGGTAAAATGCCACATAATGACATACAATTTATACGCATCCTTTTTCATCTCACTTCTCACAGTAAAGTTTACTATATTTCTTCCTACTAATTGCTAATGAATTGAAATATCTCAATATTAGAATTTCTTTCTTTTAACTACATAAACTAGAGGCAAAATAAACCAAAACAGCTTATATAGTAATTGTATATATAGAAATAAATTCACTGAGTCCAAACATTTCCTGACATAATGCTTCCAATATAAAAGTACATTTAAAATGCTTTCAATATAATAACACAGAGTATAAGAGTACGTTTCTGTCGCTGTTCTACTCCAACACATATACTCAAATATGCAGGAAAATACTGGAACGAAGCCCATTGAAGATTAGCAGTGGTCCTCTCAGTTGTGGAATCATTTGTAATTTGGACTGTCTCTTTCATATCATAAGAATGAACTATTTCATAATGATGAAAGGGTTATTTTTCAAAGATTAAAATACAATTATGTCAGTAAGATCACTTATCTATACTAGAATATTGGCTCAGAAGCCAAACACAGCAAAGATGTTCAGGGAGACTTTATTTCACAGTTTTGTGAGTTTTACTCCAGTGCAGTTTCGGCTGAGGGACCACAAGGGCACAGCTGCAAGCACTTCACCTAAGCAATTTCAACCTGGAAATGCTCTCACTGCCTCTCCTCACTACAAAGGCCTGGCGATGCCTTCTGAAAGCTCCACAGACTCTGTGGGTGTCGCATCTGTGAGCCTGAAGGACCACTTGTGCCGCAGTGAGCTCTCCTACCTCAATGTCTTGTACTTCTCCTGTGATTCACTACAGCCTTGCAAGTTATCTTTCCGCGCAGACATGTCTCACCTGCCCCATTAATGGGGCAAGCTCCTGAATTCAGCAATCGCATGCTATGGCTGTTCATTTCCCTCTGCTCCCAACCATAAAGCTAACGTTACATATTAGGGATAACTGCTCATCCACACAAAGGCTATCTATGTTTATTTTTAAAGCCTGTTTTAATTTTATATTTATAAGTATGACCGATGAGAGCTCTCACAACAACATGAATTTAAAAAGAATTGCTACTTCTCATTGGTTTGAGAACTCGGTCTTTTCTCATTCATTTGCACACTCCTATACGTAAAACCACATGCACTGATAATAAAAACAAAATCTGAATTAGCTTAGCTACCCTCAAAAATCCATGAGTGCCAAGGAAAAGACCTTGAAGTCCTGAGAAAGTCAGATTTCCTTACGTCTTGAGAGCCTGCAATAGCTGTCTGAAATTATCTCATCCACCCAGCAGAACCATGGGTCTAGACAATGGTGATGTACAACAGGAGGCAAAGGTCAGAAGGCGGGTTCTTCATGCCCTACTCCTTCCCCGAAGGACAGCAGACAGCAGTCATGCCTGTTCGCCAACTGCCAAATACACCGCACTCTTATGAGTAGCTCTGGCGGGGCCTGCTGAGTGGTACGAACACCAGCTGTGCAAGGCCTAGATGAGCTGGAACCACAGTTACGATCCTGGTGCGGCCAGCCGAAGTGTCCCGCGTTCCCAGCTAGCAGACGAGCTCCACTTACTGTCGGAGCCAAACCTGTGGAGTGAAGCCTCAGTTCCAGTTCAGCGTGCTCTCCCATACTGCTCCCCTCCAGCCGCTCTGAAGAAAGGATGTGTAGTAGAGTGCGTGAAGCACTGGCTTCCTCTACCCTGGGAGAATTCAACTGCTGTGTTCGTAACTTCCCCTCAACTTCCCCTTGTAACCTTCTCTCATTTATAAGCAAAAGAAGCCACAGCTTTCTGAATATTTGCTTGGGTTTATTTCCTGGTATCACACATTTCTTGTAATCTTTCAGTATGTTGGGGACCCAGTATCAACAACAGATAGGGAATCTTATATCTTACAACCCAAACCAAGGCATTTGGGGAACTGAAAGAAAGTGCTGTTAATGTTCAGGAGGCACCAGGGATGAGCTGGGATACACAGTCACTGTCCTCACCCCGCATGCCTACTATCCGACGATCCCTTTTGGGGTTGTCACTGTATTTTCTCATCATTAAACTCAATCTTTAGAAAAGAGGGGATATTTTTAGGGCTAGCACATTAGCATAAAATGAGTAATAGGAAATAGCTAACTTTCTACCTACACAAACTAATTGTTCCGCGTTTCTGGTCATTTGTAAAGGAGCAGGGATTTGAAATAAACAAGCAGACATCCGAAAACAGGAGTGAATGCTACTGCGCCAGAAATGGATCTTGTGTGAAGAGGCCCTGCTCATTCCAAAGCAGACTGTCTGCCTGGAAACCAGAGCTGCCCCAACCAAAGATGGTCACTGGCCTCCCATTCATCCTACGTTTATTTTGTACCCAGAGTTATTTTTCTTTTATTTATTTCAACCCATAAGTCATAAACACTTGCTAGAGCCAATCAGAAACAAATAGTTCTTTAAAGAAAGCTAAAATATGGTACCCCTGTGAAAGGTTTATCTGAAGAATGCCGTGAAATGCATGTATAGCTACATTTGTCGTGAAATGGTTACTTCTTGCTATGGTTTGGAGCCAGACTGCCCCCCAAGGGTCTCTGTGTTAAGGTTTAGTCCTCAGCTTGATGCTAACGGGGTGCAGCAGGAACACTAAGAGGGGCCCCTGGGAGGGAGTGGTGAGCTCAGCCCCACCCTCTCCCTTCTCTCTGCTCTGAGGCGAGGTGAGGGCTCGGCTCCATCACACACCCCGCTGTGCTGTGCCACCCAGGCCAGTGGACCATCACTGAAACCTGCAAGACCAGGAGCCAAAGTAAACCTTCATAGCAACAGAGGGTGGATTAACTCACCTCTTGATTTAAAGAAATCCACAGAAGTTAGTGGTTATAAAAGGAGAGGCAAGGGGACACTGAAGTTTATAAACTTATTTAATCAAGTCATGTTCTGAATAGGAGATTAGAGACACTAAGTTATAAATCAAGCAGTATGATATAGTAAATAGATTATTACCTATTTTTAAATCCATGATACTTACCAAAGGTGAACAGGATTGTAATAACCAGAAATACTCCAATTATGGTGGTAAGTATAAAACTTGTATCTGGTATCCACAAATCATCTAATGAGAAAAAGGTCAGAATTCACAGAAAAAGCTAAAGGGTTCCAGTTCTCCACCTGCACACACAGAATGGTTAGCCACAGCTAGCTCCTACTATACTTTTGTAACCCAGTTGTGAAATTTTAAAATCAGCCATGGTGAAGTTACATGCATCATAGGAAATCAAAGTTTTTTCCCTTTTTTTCCCCAAAGAATAATTTTACCAATACTCATTGGAATATACAATTTTCTATTTTAAAGTGACTAGGGAAACCTGCATATCATTTAATGAATTTGGGACAAAGGTGTCTCAATCTTCATATATTATATAGTTGAGATTACTATTTTCCTATAATATCTTCATACACATTTATTCCATGGATACTAAACCTGAGAAATAAACAGAAAACATAGAACCTTCTCAGCTTGTTTCGGTTCCAGAGAGAAGACAAATGTGGAGAACAGTTTGGCAAACTGCAGTCTATTGATCAAATCTAGCTGCAGCCCAAGTTAGTGCCTCCAATGGGTTAAAAAAAATTTTCACTTGTAAAGTATTTTTTTAAAAAGAGCCAGGACTGGCAGTGCCCTCCTGTAACCTCAGCTACTCGGGAGGCCAAAGCAGGAAGATCACAAGTTAGAGGCAAAGCTGGGCGACTTAGCAAGACCCTGACTCAAATATAAACAAAGAAAAGTCTGGGGATGTAGCGCAGTGGTAGGGTGCTTGCTTAGCCCTGAGTTCATTCCCTAGAACTGCAGGAACAGAGGGACAAACATAAAAGACAGAAGGACGGGTCACAGAGAGCACGCACAGCTTGCACGGCCTGAACTGTGCACTATTTGGTTGTTTCCAGGCTCTTGTGTACATAACAAATTATAACACAAACAAGAGCAGTGGGAGCTCCACAGCCCTGACGCCAGGCCCTCTGGAGATGAGCCCTCACTACCACGCGAAACCTGCTTCTTTATTGCCAAGTGGCAGTGCTGCAATTAACCCTGAATACTGAGGTTTTGGTTTAGAAAAAACAACTCCTACATTAACATCTTTTGTCTTAAAAAAAAAGCCACATGAGTGCTATAGGTTGGCCACCGCTGTTCACGTGAAACCTGTGTATCAAATGAAACAATTGTTCTTTCCTAATGAGTGTCAGTTTCACATCCCAATGAATTCATTTAAGTTAGGTCTGCAAGGATGAGAAGAATTTGAAGTGGCAGAAAGTGAAGGAAAGGGGATCTTCGGTAAGGAGCACATGGTAGGTGGTAGGGGCCATGTTCTAGGCTAGAGGGAACACCAGGCCAAAGACCTAGTGATACAAAGATTTTTGCCAGCTACAATGGCTATAGCACAGGGATAAATGTGGGGGAAGATGAGCTAGAATTGGAGGATGGTCATGAGTTTATAGTCGATTTTGAAGGCAGCAAATGAAGAATAATTTTGAATCTTTCAAAGATGCATCAAGTGGTCCACCTTGTTGTGTCTCAACTAGATCAACAGTCACCAACGTGCTTCAGCCAAGCACACAGGCAAGAAATGACACTGCTAATGAGGAAACCTAATGTGGAAATAGAAAGATGGAACTCGTCAGAGAGAAACTGGGATGGTAAAATTAATAGAACCTGGTGACGGGATGGAGAAAAGTCATAGGTGGCACTGAGCTCTCCAGCCTGTATGATTAAAAAGATACTATATCATAACCCCAAACAGGGTGCACAATAGAAGAGACAGAAATCAGGGAAGAGACAAGGGTGACTCTGAGCCTCTTGTGTGTAAGGTGAGAGGACAGGAATTTGATCAAAGGCTGGATGGATAAAGACCAAATTGTGGGCAGCCTCGGAAGCTTATTTAGGAGCATGGACTTTATGTGACAGGCATTAAGGAGCAGCTGAGTGTCACTGAGGAGAAAAATGACATGATGATAACAATCTCTTCACATGAGCTGGATAATTTAATAGTTGGGATCATAAGCTACACATTCACCAACCATATCTCTTTCTAACATCAAGGATATACCTCCCTTTATCACTGAACCTTTACACAAAAAGCCAGCGGGTGGACAGACATGGCGACATACCTCCCACTAGGATAATATTTTCACTGACTCCACTGTAGTCACCAAATCCAAGATGATTTACAGCTACTACTCTGAACTGAAACGTTCCTTTCAGGTTTTTGAACTTCCACGTGCAAATGCTACTGCAGGATCCATTAAATGTCATCTTCCACCTTAAATTCTGGTTCTGTGAGTCATTTGAAGTGATCTTTCTAAAAAAGAAGCAGTAAATAGTCAATGCAGAAAATACAGATGAGAATATATGCGTGATTTCTAGTTTGCTAAGATTTTGCATTATAGACAGCTCCAGAGAGCTGCCTGTTCACCCCTCACCCTTAATGTCACTCCTCCTTCATGGCTTGGCTGCAGAACGCATCATGGTCTATAAAGTCATTCTCTGCTGCAGGACCCAGCCAACTGAGCCCATCGAAAATGTCACGAAGAATCAACACCAAGAGAAAGCTGACAATCACTTTCCCACTATTTAGAATATATGAAATCTCTTCAGAATTCCAAACACATAAGAAAATCACTTCATAATTTTTTTTGTTACCAGAAATCGAACTCAGGACCTTGCGCTTTCGAGGCAGGCAGTGTCACCTCTGAGCTAAATCCCTGCCCCTCACTTCATAATTTTTAATGAGAAGTTGCCATTTTTCTTAATTTTCAGTCTCTTATTGTTATTTGTAACTTACTCTATATCTGGATAAAATACGCAGTATAAAATTGATAAGGAATGTGTGATAGCTCGGTGATCAGAGTTGTTATACTGAGATTGCTTCCTTCTGTATTGGTCTGAACTCTGCCTCAGAGCTAACCTACGTAGCCCTGGGCTCAAAGGAAGAAAGCCGAATGCTTTTGGCAGCATCACTGACTGAAGGCAAGCTCGACACCGAGAACGTCTTCTCTGGCAATGAGGAGCGAGCACTCCCGTATAGAGCTTTTCAGATGGCAGCACATGTAGGACTTGGTGCCAGGCCACTGTGAGCTTGGGGAGATGTAGTGCCACATGGCTGTGCTCCTGGCAACGAGTGGCTGTCCTGAAAAAGCAACAGGATACTGGGGACTGAGCTCAGGAGGGCGAGGAAGGGGCAAGAGCAGAAGGCAGCAGACCCGGTCACACCTGTGCCCAGGGTCGTCCTGAGCAACTAGCTATGACAGAGAGCGTTTATGCAAGGGTTAGCACTGGCAGTGTTATTAGTTAGACAACTCTAACCTGAAAGAAAGAGGCCTCTAGACATTTCTGAAGCAGCCCTTCATGGCTACTAACCAACAAAGACATTGGAAAATCTGGATGTTGTGTGAGCGCCTTCTTTCACAGCACACTGTACCAGTGCTTTATGTATGTTGTTTTGTTTCACTGAGTTTTCACACCAACTCATTTTATAGGTTAAAAAAAACTTAAGTTCACAAAAAGAAAATGAGGGAAGATTCAAATATAGTCTATGTGCTAAATCGAATACGTGCCCCACCCGTATCCACCAGAACCCATGAATGTGACTTTGTCTGGAAACAAGATTTTGACAGATGAAACCAAGTCAAGATAAGACCACCCCAGATTAGGAGGGCCCCTGCTTCAGGGACTGGGCCATATGAAAAGAGGGGAATGTGGACACAGACTCACACGAGGAGACGGTCAGGCAGCGGTGGGGGCAGAGGTTGAAGCAAGGAGCACTGAGGATGTCTGCCAACCATGGGAAGTTAGGGAGCAAGGAAAGGCCTTCCCTCGAGTCCTCAGAGGGAACATGGTCCTGCTGATGCCATGATTTCAGACTTCTCATTTCCAGAACTTAAGAGCAAATTTCTGTTGTCTTAAATCACCCAGTTGGTGGTACCTGGTTGATGATCTTCATTCAAATACCTGTTCAGCTCCAAAGTTCACATCCTTTGCACTACTACTGTACCATGAGCAAGTGCATAGAGTCCATCTAGAAAGTCCTGACTAAAGAGCCAACTTAGAGATATTTAAATTTGAACTATTATTTTGTCACTCTACAGTCCATATGTCCACAGTGGAGACCTGAGCAAGAAACATACAAACTGTCACAATGAAATCATGTCCTGAAGGTGCTAAAGAGGGGAGCACACTAAAGGGGTCCTAGCAGGAACCATGGTGTGGCCTGGCTGTTGAGAGCAATTATAGTCACAGGCCACTGAGGCAGTTCTGCAGATCAGAACATACATCACTGTGCGTGGAAAACAGTAACACATTTCATGAAGGCTTCAGTTAGAATTATGGCCAAGGGAATTCTCCACATGAGCAGGAAAAATTGTTAGGGTTACGGGAATGCCAGAGCAAGATGAAGCAAAAATAGATCTAGAGCTCAAGTTGCCCAGACTATAATTATGGAAGTGACTTTTGTCCTTGGGAGCTTCTTAAAAGATGGTTTCATAGTCCCGTGAGGGGAGTGTCTTTGGAATTTGGAACTCTTCCCTCAAGCTGGAAGGAAAACGGCCCTTCTGGGCCAACTATGGTTCACTGTGCTCCCCATGTACCCCATGAGGTTGCTCATAAGCGACCTGTCTTCATTGAGAGCACATTTTCAGTCCTGGGAGCACACTGCACACTGCCATTTTCCCAATAGAGAAGTTCATTGGACCTATATGCTTCACACCATTTCAGCCCTTCCCCTAAGTTACAGTTTGAAAACTACCAAGCTCACTGCCAGTTTTTACCAGAGTGTATTCAGACTTTCTAAAACAAATGATCAGAAGATCACATGGATGTCATCACCTGACATCACACATTAGCTCCACTTCTTAAATAGAATAGACTTAAGTTAATCTTGGTTGCATGAGCCTGTGGTTGAATAATTTCTCTACAGTTTTAATGAGCTGCTGCTGATTTCTGAGAATGATGTGCTGTGCCCTATAATCAGTGCCAAGGCTGACCTCTGCCTGCTGAGCAGAGAACACAGTGATACATGCAAAGCCCATGGGCCAAAGGTCCTCTGTGTCTATGTGTAAACATTTTCATAAATATTCTTACTTTTGATCACTTTATAGTTAACTCCTTCACCCTCTGAAGTTTATAAAGCATTTCTGCAGACAGACTTACCTGATCTCAAGGAGATAATACATAAGGCCACTCCCATCATCTTCAGCTTTTTCCCACTGTATTGAACATTTACTCCCTTCTAATAGTTTGGGAATGCCTGGTTTGCTTGGGACTCCAGCTTTGGGAAAAAAGAAAATACTGATTGATATACTAGAAGTATGAAATATACTCCACTGACACCTTTCTGTAGAGTATATTAAGGAAAGAAAAATGCAGTTTGAAAATTCAGGAATATTCTGATAGAAGAACTTTTTCAAATGAGCATCTGAAGTTTTTAATAGTGATGGATTAGATGGATTAGTGACAGGATTAACAGTCTATCTCAGCTTGACACAAAATAACTGATAAATGCAAATAAAGAAAACTGTCATAAGTTTTGGAAAATTTTCCTCTATCCTTATGTAATCAATATGGAATTATGGTATAACTTTCAGAATACTAATTAATAGAGTTGTTATATTTCTCATTTTTGCATCTGGAATAGAGAAATCCTTTAATAATTATTTGTTTAGCACTCAGTTACCCTTTTAAATATATTTCTCATTACAAAATATCATAGCTAGACAGGAAACCTGAATACTGAAAGGAGCAAAATTTTTTCCCTGTTCAGAATCGCACAAGACCACCCTAGAATTATCTCATTACTGCCTGTAAAACCTGACTGATTTCTTCACTTAAGCTCTAAAAGCAGTAATGTACTCTTTCTAAAGAAAAACTCCGACCTGTAGGGTGATAAAGTAAGGGACGAGAAGCTCTGAGATGCCTGCGGGCTGTCTGAGAGCCGTCCGTGTGACGCTTACCTGTGGTCTGGAAGCCTTCGGGCAGTGAGACGCTCCTTTCTCCTGCCGTATACACCACCACGACTCGGACCCTGCAGGAGGCGTAGGGCTGGAGACCTGAGACGTTGCAGACATAGGCGAGACCCTGGCTGCAGGAAGCTTTGACATGGGAAAACTTGCTGTATTTCCACTGTGGGGAAAAGCCACGTTCTTTCTCAGTTAGCACTCAGAGGGCACATCGCTTCCTCAGAGACACATGACACCGATTTCCTACTGGGCTGTGAATGTTCTCTATCGCACCTGCACGGAGTGCACACCACTGTTATAAAAAGCAAGGAGAAGAAAAGGTGCAAAGGGGAAGGGGAAGTGGGAGGGGTAGGGGAAAGGAATAAATACGAGAAAAGGAAAAACATGGCAACAAAGTCTTTGTAAATAGGGAAGGGTGGGAGGGGTGAAGGGAGGGCAAGGGAAGGGGGAAAAATAAGAACCAAGAGACTCCTATAATGGTGCAAGATCCCAATGATGAATGTAACTGTACTGCATACCTAAAATGTATCAATAAAAAAAGTAGGGAGAAATAAAGGAAACAGAATAAACAAAGAAATAGAAATGGTGGTATTAGTGGCATCGCCTGTACTAAACTCATCAATTGCAATGAGACGTACAGCTTAATGAGAGGCATTAGATCTGCAATATTTACTCTGAATTGAGTGTGTGTGTGTGTGTGTGTGTGTGTCTGTGTCTGTGTGTGTGTCTGTGTGTGTGTCTGTGTGTGTGTGTGAGAGAGAGAGAGGAGAGAGAGAGATTCATTCCTGGGTACAAACTACTAGCTCTCATCTGTCCTGCCTCTGTAATGATCCAATGGTCCAGAGCAGAAGTCACCAGAAGAGACTGGACCAGGTGACCAGCATTCCGCCTCCGCACCCAGAAATCCCCTGGGCTCCTGATAGGCAGGGGAGATGGATGTCTGCAGGGAGGTCGCCCAGCACTGGCCTCACAGCAGCAGCCAGCGTACCTCTGCCTCCATCTGGAGAGGAGCTGGGCTCCCCCAATCACAAGGGACCCAGGCTCCCGCCCTCAGCAGGGGTGAGGGCCACCGAGAGGGAGCCGCGAGCCACCTGGGCCATGCGTGGGGGTCTGGCCTCCGACGTCTCACAGACGGGAGCTGCAGAAATGTTTGGTTCCGACTGAAATTTGTCAGGATGTCTGAGAGCACCATGGTTCTCGTGGACTTCCATTAAAAATGTACCAAGGGAAAACTACCTGTGTCTCCTTAATCTTAAGCTGAATCTGTTCTTCTGTACACGCCTGTGATTTCTTTAAAGAAAAATCTATAATCTAGATAGAAATCTAGCCTTGTGTTCTAATTTCTTCCGGTTTCCAGACCAGGAAATCATGATTTATCACGTTATTCCTCTTTCCTTTCTAACGTATTAATACTTAGAAGACACCTACCCTCGTCACCCGTCACTCCTGTGCCTCGAGGTCTCTGGAGGGGCTGGGCTCATTCCCAGCTGCCCTTCTCTGTCCAGCAGGTCCGTCTCACTCAGCAGAGGCAGAGCTTCCTGGCTGGCGGCCACTGCCTGACCCGAGTGCCCCTCGCGTAACGCTTGCCCTTGAGGTGGCCACACATGCAGAGACCACAGAGCTTTCGTTTTCAGCTTTGTGCTTTTTCTAAATGACCTATGGAGGCCGCACAGCCCCCAAGTGGTTGAAGAGACTTTTTTTTTTTTTTTGCAGCACTAGGGATGAGATCCAAAGCCTCTCCACCACTGAGCCACATCCTTAGCACTGCCCCTTTCTGTTTCCAGACAGGGTCTCAAGTTTGCCCCAGTGGGACTTGAACTTGCGATCCTACTGCATCAGCCTCCCTAAGTGCTGGGATTACAGCCATGCCCCACCATGCCAGCTTGAAAGGACATTTCTAAACAAGGTTTTGTTTTCTTTGTTGTTGTTTCTTTCTTTCTTTCTTTCTCTCTTTTATTTTCTCATAGAAAACATCAAACTGTTATGGACTTCAAACCAGAAAAACCATACTAAATAAAATTCTATGTAATTCATAATCTGTAACTCATACTCCTTTAGACAGAGCTGTTTAAGAGCTCGCTGGAATTCTTTGCATCAGAGGTTAGTCCCCATGACTTACTGCTTCTACATGTCAAACTCGAATCAGTGAATTTTGCCAAATATATTGTTGATTTATACAAGACAATAGATACATGAAAAAGCTTTCGATTTACTCTGTGTCATAAAATTGAGATTTGCATAAAAATTCTACCTTTTGGAGTTCAAACCAAAATCGGATGAGGTTGCCATTGGGTGGACCCTTCCAATCTAACTGCAAACTAATGTTCTCCAGAGCCGTGGCATGCGGTTTCTCTGGTGTGCCAAGCATTTTGGCAGTGACGGGGCGACTCTCAGTGCACCGCACTTCCTCGGAGTGGCAGGCCAGAACCTTGTAGGAGAGAATAGTTGATGAGCTCAGGAATGGCAATAGAAGTGCCCACTCCACTCTGTGCCTTCAGACCATACAGCTGTCCACCAGACAGGCTCGCAAGCAGGACAGGGAGCCTTGCATCCGGGTACTGGCTTTGTCTTAGAGGAGCCTCGGGGATGAGGGCAGGTACGAGATTGCCAGCTGACAGCGGACTGACTCTCCAGGCCCATTCGGCTGCTGAGATTCTCTCCGGGACACAAGGGACTGGTGCCTGACAGCACAGTCGTGTTAACGGACTGAACGGCCCCCGGAACCGAAGTGAGTGGAATGGCAGGTGAGAGGTGCTGTGACTGCCCTCCAGGGTGGAAAGGGGAGGGTTCCTGGCTGGCTGAAGGAAATCAGCCTCTTGAACAGTGAGTTCGCTGCGGCCGGACAGGCTCTCGCCCACTTTTGCTTAATGACCAAATTGGTCTCTGATTCCATCTCCAGGGTGCAACGAGGAATGGATCACCCAATAGATGAGCTGTGTGAATATCATCAGAAGCATCTGAAAAAATAATCAGCTCCTCTTAAAACATCCTTTTTCAGATGCCAGAGCTATTTTCTCTAGGACAGCCGTGTCCATTGCTTTAATTCTCAGTGGGCTCAGAGCAATACAGACAGAGAAGAGCCTTCCCTTGAGCCCCCGTAGAGAACCGTGGGACATGGAGAGAGGGCGACACTGTGTGGTGGGGCCGAGAAACGTTTCCTGGCCAACCCTGACTCAGTCGCTCTCTCTCCTGGTATAGTACTCATTGGTTAGAGCAAGGGTCAAGGTCCAAATATGTTCCACAAATTCATTTTCCTTATTAAACTTTAAAAGCTCACATAATACCTGTTAATGAGCATTCAGATTTTTTTAGTTTAGTTTATTTTTTTGTTTCCATTTTTTAAATAAATTTTATTTTGTTTTATCCTATTCCGCATTCAGATTTAAAGAAACCAAATACAGGGCCGGGGATTTAGCTCAGTGCTTCCAGCGCCTGCCACAAAAGCACAAGGTCCCAAGTTCGATCCCCAGTACCAAAAAAAAAAAAAAAGAGAAACCAAATGCAGACATACACACCACATACAACACAAATTCCTCCTCAGAACCCACACCAAGCCATGACTCACCACCACTTCTAGTCTTTCCCCAGATAGCTTGTCCCAGCGGTAAGTGTTCTCGAGAATCTGAATAATAATTCTTTTTAGCCACTTTTATTATGTATGTTGAAAATGGTTGTAAACCTTCAATAAGAGCTATCCTCTCCTGAGATTCCTGTAATTAATTTTTAGAAGTCAATAGCTTATTTTCATATCTTATACAAGTGTATAGAAATTATTTAACCAAAGAGAAAAAACTTAAAGACTCAAACTTTTAATATATTTTAATTCTAGGTTGTTAATAATAATATCACGGTCTTAATTTACCCAGACCTGAGTTGTTGAACGTCTCCATGAATAAATGCCAAGTGATTGCCAGTCCTCGGTCAATTTTGCAAACCATCATCTCACACACAAAGCTAAATTCCCTGGAGAGGGCACTTATGTTACTGGCATTGCATTGGAAATTCAGCAAGATGATATTATACAGTTGTGACACGTAGTGAATACAATACAAAATCAAGCAATGTTGTCTAATCATTCCTAGGAGTAACATTTAAGAGAGTAAAAAGGATGATCCTCACTTTGAATTGGAATCATCTATGAGGTTTTTGTTTTGTTTTCTTTTGGTACCAGGGATCGAACTCAGGACCTTGAGCTTGTGAGGCAGGCGGTGGATCATCTATGAGGTTTTAAGTGACAAGGAATCATGTATAGTTTATGACAAAGTGTACAGTATGTAATGTTCAACAGATGATGGTCAGTTTCACCTTTTGAACTGGTTAAATAAAGCCAAGCAAAAACACCATATTGGGGGCTGGGGATTTAGCTCAATGGTTTCGCCACCTGCTGCGCAAAAGCAAGGACCAGAGTTCGATCCCCGGTACCAAAAAAAAAAAAAAAAAAGAATTTTTGCCCGGGATTTAGCTCAGTGGTTCTGCCGCCTGCCTTCCAAATGCAAGGACCTAAATTCAATCCCCGGTACTAAAAACAAAACAAAACAAAAAAACACCATTTGGCCATGTAAGTTCCTCATCACTAGGACATGTGAAACACAAATGCCAGTGTTGGAGTGATGGTGCCAATTCATTCCCTCAAGAAACATCTGGTGAATGCCTGACACAGTGCCAACCATTATGCAACCATTAGGGATAAGATCATGATTTTTAAAAAGACATAGTCCTTGTATAGCTGTGCATTTCACAACATATGAGAAATAGACAAAATATAGTTTTCAATGGTTATATTATATAAATGCTAGGAAGAACAAGTAGCTGGCAGTGTTCTTTCTGCCCAATTCACTTCTTACTCCTCAATCTTCAATCTACTGGATTGGCCATGAAAAGAAGTCTTCATAACACTCTGGGGATAGAAAACCCCAGAGGGGAACAACTCAGTTATTTCAGAACACTCAGGATTTGCTACCATGGCTATTCATCAACTGGCCAGAGTTCATATATGTCCTCACAGCTCAACCTACTCCCAGGCAAGAAGCGTGGAGCACAGTGTGTTTTGATGAATCAGCAGCTGTAAGGCCTGCAGAGTAGTACACCTCAGAACATATGGGAAAGGCTTTGCTGTGGCTGAGGGCCTCTCGTGACAAACACAGAAATGACTAGCTTCGGTCTCACCAGTATTTTTTACTTCAGGTGAGAGTTGTTTGTGCTTCCATTCAGTTCTGCATAATAAACCAGGTGTGCTGGGGTTGGGCCAGAGAGGCCATTCCAAGTATGCTGTGTCTTGGCTGGAGGCAATGCGACTGTGAAGCTGCTATTGGTGGCATTAAGTATAGCTGGTTCCGCTGTATGTGAAGCTAGAAACAGAAATGCTTTACCTAAAATAAGAAGAAAAGAAAGATCAATACATGTACAAGAGGAATGATAGATTTATTTAACATCAAGGGTAATATCAAAGATCAGAAAGAAATTTGTAGAGCACAAGGGCCGGGGATTTAGCTCAGTGGTTCTGGCGCCTGCCTCCCAAGCACAAGGTCCCGAGTTCCATCCCGGTACCAAAAAAAAAAAAAAGAAAGAAATTTGTAGAGCACATAACTTGCTTGAGAGAATAAATAGGAAAATGCTTTTGAAATAGCAGTCCTTGAAGAAATGACAATGACTGCATTTTGATGTGTGTAGCAGATGCTGTGAGATGCCACCCAGTGCCCACCCCTCTTCCTCGAGCTCATGCACGTCTGGCATCGCCCCAGCTGGCATGCCTGGAGGGAAACAGTCTGCGACAGTCATGGGACACAGCACACCCCACGAGAGGCAAGTGGGAGTCTGTTCCAGGGCTTCCAGAACAGTGGCTGTCCTGCTACACTGAGGGCAAACTGGTGCCTCCACACCCTTGCCCTGCCTCGCCCCCTGCCCAGGATGCTGACGTGAAGTCCAGAGGGGCAGGAGTCCTCCTGTAGGAAGTGGCTGGAAGACGGGCTAGAGCAGCCCCGGGGAATAGAAGAGGAGGCTGGTGGCGCAGGGGAGCTGCCTGGCCACGGCACACAGCTAACGTGCTGCACCCTCACTCTGGGGCGCACCACCCTGAGCCTGCAGGAGGAATGGTGCACCTGTCACCCTGCAGGCTGAGGAGAACCTCTCAAATCGGACTTCAAACCCTGGCAACCAAATGCAGCTTCCCATCTATTCACTCTGATCATGTCCCATGTGGAGTGACGTGAAGGAGTAGCACCATCTCGCAGACAGAACACAAGGCGCACGCAACTGAAATGTGGTTTTCCATGGGACTTAACAGCCCCGCCCCAGGGAAGCGCCCTTTCCCATCACTCAGCACACTCTACTCTGGCTCCTTGCCAACACTCAACCCCACCCCTGACTCTGCTAAGTCACCCTCACTCAAACACATCCCTCTGCCTGCAAACCGTGCCCCAATCCCACCCGACAGTCCTCGTTTGGAGCGACCTCACCGAGGCTCGACTCATGGCAGCCCCTCTCCTGGGCCACAGCATTGGGGCACAGCGTCCACTCCGTTCTTACCGTGCCTAGATCTTCCACCACAGCACTAGCTACATCAGACTGGTTTCAGTTTACTTTCGTCGCTTTATTTATCTACCACTGGAATGTGAAGTTTCTTGGGCTAAGACTGTTTCCCTAGATTCCCAGGAGGGAGCCTGACACATTGCAGCTGCTTAAAAAATGCTGTAGTATTTATGAAAGGGTGTTATCAAAACAAAGTACGTCCTTTGCGTTCACCAAGTGAGACAGTTAGGAAGGAAATGTCTCTGAGCCAAATGACTCCATCAAGCCTGCTGCTTCCCTCCTAACTCTTTGACCTTGAGCTGTTTACTACAGCTCTTCTAAACACAGACAGTGTCTGCTTCACAGATACTTACATGTGACTCCACCTCAGGCACATTGTGAGCTTTTGAAAAACGTGAGCTATTATTAGCATCATTAGTGAGCTGTTGAAAAATTAGGGAAAATAATGCCGATCTCATCTGGGAGCTCTGAATGTGAATTCCAAAATGCAGGAAAGAATGTTTCAAGTTAGAACCATCACAAATTACCACATCATAAATTACCAAGAATAGGGAATGTGAACGGAGTTGGGAAAACAGCTTTGAACAGAATAGGAGTTTGAAGAAGGATAATTTTACTAAAGTTACAAAGTGGTCCACTCTCTGGCTCCAGTAATGTTTATATAATATTCATCTGTGCTGACTTCTGGTCTAAAGCGAGAATAGGACCCTCATGGTAGCATCCACAGCAATAATTCGATTCAAAGATGATTGGTGCTTTCTCATTATTTAACAGATATGGTAAGATACAATCAAGCACTGTAAATGGCATTCAGGGCAAGAGTTTCTCCATACTTGTTTGTTTTTCTTAATCCTATACATGTTGAAGACGTGAAGTGGCTTGGGAGAAAAAGGAACATGGTAATAGGTAATTGCTTAAAACTTCCAGCAGATGGAGCTAAAGTACTCTCAATAATGTACCTTGAAAGTTGTAAAACGAAGTTGGTACTTTTTTCAAAGGAAATAATGACAGCAGTATCATATTTTTCATATTTTTCATGAGTTTCAGTAATAAAAACTCATGCTACCTGTAGGATTTTTATTTTTAGTTTTTTAATTTTTTTCTCTATCTTAAGCTTTATTCTTTTTAAAAGATTTTTTTCCATTAAGTTTATTGGTACATTTTAGGTATACAATACAGTTACATTCATCATTGGGAACTTGTACCTAGGATTTTTATTTTTAAGTATATATGTATGAATGTGTATTTGTGTGGTGTTACATGTACTTTTTAAAAAATACAAACTAATACAAAGTCTGTATTCTATGACTTGCAGTGTCCCTGGTAATTTTCTCTTGATAAGCAGACATGATTACTCAATAAAAGAAACTGCTGGAAATGAACCTGTAGTTATGTAGTAACAAGATGAAGAGGAGGGGAAGTAGTCTGCAGGTCTAAATTAGTAAGCCTGTGCCTCTGGATTAAGAACTGAAATTAGATCTGATAAAATCCAGAATGTTGGGCTGTGGTTAGTTTCTCATGGGGGCAAACTTTGTTAAGAACAGAATAATCTAGTATGCTTTAAGACTGCTCTTTTCCTTCTCTGTCTGGTGGAAACACAAGAAAATATTCTAAGATACTCACTGTAAGAATCAGGCCAGGCTCCTGATGATAAAACTCAGAAAAGTGTGGGAGCCCTTTGTGCTGCATCCTCGCTGAGTCCCTGCTGTGCTCAGCCGGCAGATCAACTCCACTTCAGGTTTCCCTGCCCCAACCCAGGCTCCCTCAGCACCTTTGCTTGTGGATTTTTGTTCCAGTAAACTGGAAATCTATAGTCACTCATCTTTTTTCCTAATTTTGGGAAAGGGGTTTGCCCTTTTCTCATGGATCTAAGAAGAACTGAGTTTTCCATTTGCTTGTATTTTTACTTGTTAGGCACAGTGGCAATTTTCAAATTTCCTACATGCTGGACCAGAAACTAGAAGTCACATAGACTTAAAATCTCTTCAATTTCTCAAGGTGGAAAATGAATTCTTTATAAAAACATGAACTAAGTCTATTTATAAATTCTTACCTTATCCAGCTTTACATATTTTATAACTGAATACATTGAAGCAAAAAAATTTGGTTTGTTCATTTCTGTCCCTGTCTCAGAGAATTATGCTTAATTTAGAATGACATGTTAACCTAATGACAGAGAAAGCTTGATGAAAGAGTCAAAAACTGCTTTAGGTTTCACTGCCATCAATAAAGAAATGTAATACTGATTTTGTTTTTGTTTGGTGGTTGGTTTACAGATTTGTCAAAAGTTTTGTTATGACCTTCAGTGGCAAATATATAGTCAGTCCTGCTACAATGTAATCCTACATTTCTATAAATCATTGCAGTATAAACATCATGCTATAAAATTCATACAGCTCAAGGAGTAATCAGGATTAGCGATTCAACACTAAAAAACTCCATCGATGGCACTAAGACAAGAGCTTAGTAAAACAGGGAGCCCAGACTCATCCACGTCAAACAGCACAGAACAACAGTGTAATGACAGTCATATTAATATATCCCTCAGTGCATCGCACTGCCTGATGCATGGTACGTTAGGCCACAGGGAGTACAGCACTTTACCTTGAAAAGGACCTTAAAGTTTTATGCAGTGCTTTTTGACGCCACCGGGAGGCCTACAATATCACTGAAGGAGAAAAAGACAGAAGAGAAGTTATGGGGCTGAGGAAAGAAAGAGGACAGGCAGAGAGAATGCAGACACCGGAGTCTCGAGTCCTGAGCTGTGCATGCAGCCGCGCCGTGTACAACCCGGCTGTGACCTGTGGGCCCAGACAAGCAGCAATGCAGTGAGCATTGAACACTGTCGGGGTTGAGGGCAACAAGAAGAGCTTTAGGACAGGGTGGAGGGCCGGCCTTGGGGCGGAAACAGGCCGCTCGGGAATGTGACCTGCTTACTTGGGAGAGGCTGCGTGGCAGGACTGTATGCCAGGATGCACTGACTCCTCAGGGGCTTCACCTGGGAAACGCTGGCCCTATCCCTCTTCTTTGCTTGATAAACCTGTGTGTTGTCTGTCACTGTGATGATCCAATATTTAAAGTCTTTATCCACAGTTAAACTAACAGGGGCTTTTCCTGCCGATTAAAAGCATAAAGAACATGGAATAAAGAACAAATTATAACTCTCAAGGTTTTTTTTCTCACCAGTAAATGAAATCCTTTATAACTGCTAAATTTTGAATCTTTCTATTATTTCAATATAAAATAATATTTGTATCTGATGCCTCATTTGGGGTAAATGAGAGGTTTTCTTATTTTAGTTCCACATCAAGCCAATAAGGCAAATACTGTTACTACCAGCCACACGTTTTGCAAGTGAACTAAGGCTGTAAGGAGTACATAATCCACTTAAGAGTGCAAGGTCCTGAGTTCGATTCCTGGTATCACACACAAAAAAAATCTACTTAAGGCCACAAAGTTAGCTAAGGGCAGAGACAGGGTTAAAAACCCAGACTAGGGGCCGGGGATTTAGCTCAGTGGTTTCGCCACTTGCTGTGCAAGCACAAGGACCCAAGTTCGATCCCCGTTACCAAAACAAAACAAAAAACAAACAAACAAAAACCCCCAGACTATACGAACCCAAGGCCAACAATGCCAGCCCATCCGCAGCAGAGGATTGGGAAGGACTCAGTGTCTTGGTCAATATTTTTATCATTGGTTTAGAATGAATGAATAGTAAACACATTTACCAAATTTGTAGATAACACATGATTATCACTATCACAAGCAGGTCAGTGATAGCCTTGAAATTTAAACATATCACAACAGAATCAGGAAATGGATTGAAATTTAATAGAAACAAATAAAAAATCCTAAATTCAGGTTTAAAATCAATTCTATAAATTAGGAAGTAAAATACAATTGGGCTTGATAACATTTCATGTGAAGTAAGACCATGGGTGTTGCAGCTGACAGGCAGCCCCAAGATCTGATGCTACTTTTAGTTACAGTGAAAAAACCTAGGAAGCAGCGTTTGCCTTGTAGCACCAGAACACATGGAGAGCGTAGCACTGACATTTCGGAGGATATTAACCAGCTAGAGTGGAAAAGAGGTGACCAACACAAAGAAAAGTCTAGAAGACACACTACCTGAGAGTTAGTTATAGATGACTTGAATTTTCCCTCTAAATAAAATGTAGAAGGGACGACAAGAGTCGTCTCTACATGATTGCATGGCTGTCATGTGGAAGATGATTAACATACTCTTTGTTAACTTAGAGGTCAGAAATAAGACCAGTGAATGAGAGGAATGGAGAAAAACTTCATTTAAATAAAATTAAAGTATCTGATATTCAGAATTATCTAAAAAATTATACAGACATCCTTACAAAGTACTGACTACCTTTTAATAAATAAATGAAGGGATTTCTTCCAACATCATATGAGCTAAATGATCTCTAAAATCATTCTGATTTTCTAATTTTAGGATTATGTGTTTCAATTATGTATTTATCAAAGACTGACCAGTTCCTATCTATATGATAAGGGCTCACTAGGTAATTCTTGTATATCAGATGTTTTTAAAACCATTCTGACACTTGTTAAAATTATAAGACTTTCAGTTGAGACTAGTGCATGTGGCAACAGGGAAGACGGATGCTGCAGTACAACGGAGACAGTGGGCGAGTGAAGAGGACGAGACAGTGAAGGATTTAGTGGGTGGAAAATTACTAAGAGGAGACTCCAAGGACAGGGTCTTGTTAAACCAGCCCGACAAGATTCTTGCTGAAGGCAGGCCAAGAGTCCCCAAGGGTAGGGATGAGGAATTTGATGCGATCAAGATGGAGAAATGTCTTCAGCTCTGTTATCCAGTGCAGTGGCCTCTCAGCCTTTGTGGCTTTTGGCTTTTGAGCACTTGAATGTGGCCAGCATGACTGATGGAATAAATGTTTGATTTTATTTAATTTTAATTCATTTAAATTAAAATCACAGCATGTGACTGACTAGTGATTACCATCTGGACAGCGAGGTATAAACTGTTGGGAGTGCACATAGGGTATTCAGAGTATACTTTTTTCTGTTGGAATTACTCCTATAGTTGACTTCCAAATCATTTCTTCCACAAGCATATGAATTTCAAGAGGTGGACTTTCCAAGTATTGACCAGTTCACGCTGAAAGTGGAGTCAGTGGGGTCATCAAAGTAGAAATAAACTTCTCTACTGGCAAGATCATGGATGTGTAGTTAGCTTCAGTTCCAACTCCTCAACTAACTGTGACCTTTTAAACAAGTTACTACCCTTCTCAACGTCAGTTTTCCTATCTGTAAAATGAGGATATAAATACCCACCTCAATAAGGTATTTTGAAGATAATGTACCGGATAATGTACTGAGTAGCATGCTTAGAGTACAGAGTTAAATTTGTTAAATTGTAGCTCTACTGTTAATTGCAAACTTTAAAAGACACAGGTTGAGAAATTTTGTGAATGTCCACATACAACTCACCCGGAAACAACTTGATTTGGATCCTACCAGAGCACTGGGCATAGTCCAGAGCAAACACTGTGAGTATATTCCTTTAAGTATGTGTAGAAAACAAGCCCCTGCTAATGGGACAGAAGAGGCTGTTTGTCCCTAAGGAAGACCACGTGCTCACACGCGCATCTTACCCCACACAGCAGGCACCAGGATGACTCGCCAGCACTGGCACCCTTCCAGGTCCATGGCCCAGATCTCTTGACCTTTGGCAAAGTATATCCATGGCTTCTCTAGGTCACAGGTATCAACAGCCATTGTTCCGCTTAAGCCAAATTCAGTCACATTACAAGAACAACAGACCCTTCCATTTTGTTGGTCTGTGGCTGTGGGTCGCAGAATGTGATGCAAGGTATGACTGATGGTGCCGTAGTAGGACATCTGATAGCCCACATCGGAAACTTCTGTCCAATATAAGCGACGACAGAGTGAAGAGAAAGTTCCTCTAGCTTAATGAGCAAAATATATTGTTTCAAATATCAGTTTCTAATGAAAATAAATCGCTGTAATGATTGGGGGACCAATGCATCTTTAGGAAAGAACATGTCCAAGTTTTCAAAAATAGAGGAAGTCATAAGAAGTCTAACTCATATTATTTTCCAACAGTTTGTTAGTAAATGTGTTTACAAGTAAAGGCCTTGAACTATAATGACCTTCAGTGCTCATAGCTCAGGCACCGTCCATGGCCCCCTACTGGCTGTGAACCCGAAATGGACTTGCACACTTTTATTACGTCCATCTCCGTTCTCTTCCTCTGCTCCACTTCTGTTCTGAATGCTCGCTAACAATCTAGCTTCAAAATAGCCTATATCCAGGCTCATGACACAAACAAAAATCTTTCCACCCTGGGAAACTGCTATTCAGTTGCTGAGTGGAGGCCTTAAAATCCATCTCATAATTTAATTATTAATTAAACCAAGGTGGCTGAGCCCGGAATAACTTTTACTGAGCAAAGCCTGCTGCCCATTCCCCGCCCTGTCTCAGCACCTGTCTTGTCCTTACCAACTGATGATACTATTAAATTCATTAATATAAAAATCTGTTATTGGCTTCCTCCCTGTACTTGGCCTGACTTCAGGGTAGTCAAATCATCGGTGTGGATTAAGATTTCGTATCTGTGGTTGTGAGCTCACAATTTATATGCCGAATTACTTATCATAAGTTAATATGATGACCCAAGCTCTTTACTTTCCCACCCTTGGCTTCTAAAGTTAAGCCGAAAATATAACATTAAATACACCTATGTCTGCTTCATTGTGAGAGAAAAAGATACATTTGCATACCTTAAAAGAGGATATACAGAAAAGGAAACTATTGTTGAGTTCCTGTTACAAATCTTCAGTTCACTGGGGCGTTTCACCTTGTGCTCAAGATCAACATCAAATATTTGTGTTCCGTGTGATTCTTTCAGCACAAAGTAGAGGTGCCTTGAAACCCAGCTGACTGTGATGAGTGTGCTGCCAGAGATGCGTGCATCTCGGAAAAGCTTAACATTGAGTAGAGAACACGGCCAGCAAAACGGGGTTAATTTTTTCATTTGAAGACCGTTCTATGATTATTCATATCACTTATTTATTGCACGTCACCTCTGTAATCCAAAGCCCCAGTGGCTCCGGGTTGTGCACTCTTGTGACATGGGCCCTCTTTTCACACTGTATATGTTACTAGATAATTTCAGCTCCTGTGGCTTCAGTGATAATCCACATACCAGTGCTAATAATCCACATCTTCAGACAAGAACCCTCCCAGAGGTGCTGATCCCAAAGCAAACTTCCTGTTGGACTGCTCCATTCAGTGACCCATCATCCTACCCCGCACCTCCTACCCTCTTGCATGATGTATTTTATGAGTATCCATTCATCTGATCAAAGTGTCCCCTGGCTTCTTCCTCACTGAACTGTGTCTACAGGGCTGCTCTCACTTTGTGTCTCTCCCAGTTTGTCCCCTTCTTTCTCACCTCTCTGCCTGTCACCTGTCTCCTGCTTTACTATTTCCTATTGAATTTCTTTAGTAGCCTCCTGCAGATGTGCCCTTAAGCCATCACACACAGTGCTCACACGGAGGTCTTTCCACAATGCAAGCTGACCGTGTTAAGGACCTACTAAACGTCGTCATTGGCTTGTTGTGGCCTTCTGGGTGAACACCTGGTTCCTGGCAGGTGAAGGAGGTCCCTTGTATTTGGGCTCCTGGAACTCCTGCCCAGCTTTCCTACCTGCTGCCTTTCATGCCTCCGTCATCTGCATCTCCTAGCAGACTCCCTTTAGTCACAGCCCTCAGTAGCTCCGGCTCCAGGCTCCCCTGCCTCTGCCCGTCCCCTGGCTCATCTTTGAGACCAAGATGTTTTTCATTCTGCCACCACCACCACTCACTGGGCTGCTGCTCATTTCCTGAGATTCCCCACACCCTGCTCTAGCATGGCAGTGATACTGATCTGCCATCCCTGTTAGGTGGGATGAAATGAGTGCCCAGCCTGTGTCAGGCATTGGCTTTAACAGGTTATTTCACTTACCTTTCACAGGAACCCAGGATGAGGAACCACTTAGCCACAGATATTGAATAACCCGTTGGTGGTCACAGATCTAGTGAGTGGTAGGCCTGCAATAAATCACAGATGCCAGGTTCCAAAGCACTTTGCTGCCTTCCCAGTGTTACACAGACTCACTTTGGAAGAGCACTTTTCGCCATGGTTTGGGTCTGGAGTATGCTCCAAAGGTCCATGTGTTAAGGGTTTGGCTCCAGCCAGCGGTGTCACTGGGAGGAAGGGCCGGCGGGCAGTGTGCAGGGCATTAGCTCTGTGCCTCCCAGAGCTGAGACCCTTGGCCACTTCTCTCTTGCTTTCACTTCTTGCCCATGAGGAGATGGCTTTGACCACCACGCACTCCCAGTCATGACTGCTTCCTCGCCATAGACCCCAAAGCAACGAGGCCAAATACTCATGGATCGGGACCTCCAGAACTGTGAGCCAAGATGAACCTTGGTCTTTATAAGTTGATTATCTCAGTATTGTTCCAAGAGCAGAAAGTTCACACACTTCTGTATGCCCAGAATCTAACACAGTGCCAGTAACTCTTCTAACTTATTCTTAGAATTTGCCCAAATTCTACTCTGTATTTATTTGTAGCTAAATACTTATACAACATTGATCCTCTTCAATCATTCTAATATCCTGGCTCACCCATTGGCCAGGCATTTTAATTACAGGACAATATGATACACAAATGTTCTGCTTCCTGAATTCAAAAGAGTCACAAAGTTGAAGTACCTCAGAGCTAGAACGGTTGCGCAAGTTCAGAAGGAAGAGGGAGTCTCCTAGGGCAAAATAACCCATCTCATCATCAGCTGTGTAGCCCAGGGCGCTGATGTCTCTTTCTGCCAAAAATGTCCACACAACTTGATTTTGGTCCATATCTAACAGCACTATCTCATTGTGAAAGAAAGACATGAGGTAAGGAAATGAGTTGATTTCTGCAAATGAAAAGAAAATAATACACATGAACAAACTAGCTTTAGGTTAGCAACGTCTCTTGAGTCAACATCAAGTGGTTTTGAAATCCACTGGCACCTTGGGGTCCAACTCTTTTAGCCCTGGTGAAGCTCTCAGCCTTCTCATCCTGGGTTTGTTTAACATATTTTGGTGATGAGGAAAACTGATTATTTTATTTGACTTTAACTTCAGCTCAGAGTTGAAATTAGAATCCCTAAAGATACCATTCAAAAGATGCTTTTAAGGTTTTATTAGCACAGATTTTTGAACAACAAATACCTGATGCTTTAGACTTCACTATGTCAGAAAACGGCCCTGGGCCTTTGGATGTGTAGACTCGAACCTAAAGCAAAGAAAAGGAAACAATGGGAGAAAAATGCATTCATCAGTATTCTCAGGGCAATAAGTTCCGGAACTGAGAAATTATTAAGTGTCTTGTTTCACATGCCTGATACATGTTATTAATAGTTTCAAATACTTGTTTACTAGCTACATATAGCAATAACTAAGGGGGAAATACTGTCCCATATGCATGATGTTGGGGCTTTTGGTCTAGAAAAGTTCTGAGGAGGCACAGATTTCTATTGAATAACAACAACAACAACAAAATCTCTAAAATATTCTGGGGATTTAATGTGGAAAACAGGTGATGATGAGTGGATTGATTGATTTGATGGTGATAACTGTTACACAATGTACACAGATATCAATCATTGCCATCTACATCTCAATTATATACAATCTGTCCTTGTCAAGTAAATATGTTAAAATAAACAGATTAAGGCTACATAGAACATTTGAAAGAAATGAAACTGAACAAAATTATAGTAAACTTCCACTTACATTGAAATCAACAACCAAAAACGTCAAATAAATAAATTTATCATATTTTAAAAGATATTTATAAAAAGAAAATAGTAAACTTCACATTCAAAATGATTATACATTCAAACTATTTGCACATGCATTGCTTCTTTTGATCCTCACAACTACTAACTATGAGTAGGAGTAGAAACTGGTCCAGAATTATAATTAAAGTAAGGAAGTTGTCTACAATGACACATAGAAACACATCTCCTGAGGTGTGTGTATTTTCTTTCACGGTACATGTCACATCCTAACAGGAAAGTTTTCTAAATTAAATAAATTTTATTATGTAATAAATCATTTTCTTTCCCTAGTCTTGCATATGTATTATAGCCAGCAAAGAAAATTTACATACAGAGTGATGGCCTCAAAATATAGAGCTTCAAATGCTCTCTCAACAAACCAGTGGGTAATGTTTGTTATACTTTTGGAATTAAATGCATTTTGTGATATCCTATTTATTAATATTTGTGTATGATTTACAAATGCATTTTATGATATCATATATATTAATATTTGTGTATGATTCACAATGGTGCATATGTATACCAAACAATCTTCAATTTTGAATAGGACCATGTTAAATGAAATATACGCAATCATCCATATTATATTGCATGGGTCTATGGTGACTCAAATCTGAAACATACATATAGACAGATACACTTAAGAGCAGTCACTATTTTTAACAAATAGGAATGTGTATTATCTTTAACTTCTATGAACAACCTTTTTGACTGGAATATGTAGACATAATAGATTATCAAGACCTTTATTGAAGAATTATTAGAATTTTACAAAAAGAAAAATGAAAACACATCCATAGGGAACTTAAATCTCCAAAACATTACTTTCCCCCAAATAAATGGAAAATGGCTGTAAATATACACAACACTATCTGCAGCATGGTACTTGATGAGAATATGAAAATCACCAAGCCCTCAATTATAAGAGGGGTGTTATTTTATGTGAAATTTAAAATATCAAAATGGAGTGTCAATCGATTTCTTTCTTGACTGCTATTCTTTCTGTCTGTCCTATCATTAACAGGTGAGATATCAATCATGCAGACTTCCGGTTTTTATTTGCATTGGAAGACCCAAGTCAGGGATCCAGTTGATTCAAGAGGTGTTGTGATATGGAGGGAAGAACTCTACAAGTTGGCCTATGGCACATCACTTCCTAGTCGTGCAGCTTGCTAACTGGCTGGTATACCCAGGGACCTGGGTTTTTCTTCACAGTATGAGGATCAAACAAGATAATGAGTATGAAAGTCCCAACGGTGTTGCGTGGCCTGTAATGATCTCATCGACAAATACTACTTTACTCCGAACCTGAAAAGTAGACTTAATGCAAGGGAGCTGTCGAGACATCCTTCAGCCACACTGTCTTTCCTTCCCTATGGTCTCTTGCTGCCCACTTGACCCCATGATTACAGTGAGCCCCAAACTATTGACAGAGTGGAAATTCTTAACCTAGTCCTTTATTAACTTTCTGTTGCACTATTAAGACTCCCTTACCCCAGTTTCCATTCATACCTGGAAGGCAACAATGTACCCAGGACTCATGGCCTCAAGTTGAAAAGATGTCACTGAGGAAGTGACATTGACAGCAATCCAGCCTTTGGATGTTCTGCTTGTGTCACTTTGGTTGGATATATGGTAGAAAATTTCAAATCTTGTCAACACTCCATTTTCATGCTTAGGTTTGTCCCACCTAAACTCTACCACAACTTCATTCTTGTGGAGGGATCTTTCACTCGGTAATACAAACATTCTGGGGTTTTCTGGTGTAGTTGGAACTGCAAATCAGAAGCAGAGATGGGGCTGAAAAGAACGTGAAGGCTGACTTTTACCACTCACAATCAGCATGTGGACATCTTATCAGTAAGTATTCTTCATTACAGTGTGGTGAGGTAAATTTCTCAGTCTTAAAGCTCTTCAAGAGAAAATATTCTATAGCTTTCTTTAGGAAATCATCGTGATAGTTCAGCAAATCTTAATAACTTTGAGTTCATCCCAAACCCCTTCTACTACTGCTCATACACATCTTTCTTATCTGTGCCCAGTGTAGATAGGTGGTAGCAGGTGCTCCACTCGAAGTACAGCATTCACTCTCATCCCCATACAGTGATGGCTGGAGGGGGAAGTCAGTCATCAGAAGGAGAAGAAGTAACCCTAACCAGCCTTTAGCCAGTTCTGGGTATAAAATGCAGCATACCAGGAATCCACCCTAAGCCTCTAGGAGCAGGAGTTGTGGAAAAGCGTGATGGCCTCTCAAGGATAGGTCTGGAGGTCCCAGTTACGCCAGGACCAAACTAGGCGGTGCAATCTCTCAGTCCTTTAGCCAAGAGAACCTCCGGTGCCTAGTTTCCAAGGCACTGGATCCCAGATGACCCTCTTCTTTCTTAGACTCCTCCACAAGGGCTCCACCCCTTCCCATCCCAATTACATTGCTTCTTAGTGCTCATCACTCACACATTACACAACCCCAGGCCTTCTCATACTCTGCTTACGTGGGATGCTTATGCTCGCTCCATCCCACAGAACCAGGAAACGTTTCTGCTCCCATATCCATCTAAGCCATCTCCTCTCCTAAACACCCAGAAGCAGCTTGACATAAGTGGGTGTTCTGAGTGGCAGCTACTCACTATGAGCCATTGCTGTCTGGCTATCAGTGTTTTATCCCTGTGATGTGTGTGCATTATATCCATGATGTTTTATGAGATCCATCAGAGAGAGCAACTTTTCTTATGCCCTATTAAATTCTCCCAGATCTAGCATAGGACTGGCACACAGTAAGTGCTTAATAAACAGTCAATTTGAACATTTTCTTGCTTTATTGTAAATATCTTTTTTTTTTTTTTTGGTACTGGGGATTGAATTCAGGACCTTGCGTTTGTGAGGCAAGCGGCGGAACCACTGAGCTAAATCCCTGGCCCTATTGTAAATATCTTGAAGGTTAGGGCCAATCCTGTCATCCTTCCTTGTAGCCTCCGGGCCCTAGGTGGACCCCCTGGTAGATGCATTAAATCCATTTCCAAAGAACAGTACCACAAAGCTGATAGCCTAAGAGACCTCAGAGAGAGGACACCTAGACCCAAACGCAACCTGCTTCAGAGCATGCTCAGGTTCTTCTAGTTTGCTGCTATGAGACTCAGGGGTAAATATTGTTGAATGAATCAAATAAAAAAAAGAAAAAAGAATGGTGAATAAATGTTCATGTTTAATGAGCCCTCACTGCCTGCCAAGTCCTGTGTTAGGAAATTTATGTATGTTTAATTAATATAAAGCTATAATTTGCTCTCATTTGTGATGAGAGATTCAATGAAGCTATAGTGAAAATTCTGGATTAGGGCCTTACCACTTAGTAGTTATTTCTCATGGGCAACTACAGGTCATCCATTCGTCATTTGCATAATCAAGATTGACACATGTTCTATGTACCTGATAGCTAGATCAAACAAAATGATATTTTTGAAATATAGTAAGTGTGTAGTAGACATTTAGTATATGTGCTGCCGAAGCGAGCACTGTAGTAGACATTTAAAAAGAGTGATATATATATATATATATATCAAAAGTGACTTACACATGTGAAAATATGGTTACACATGTAAAACATAGTTAGTACAAACAAAATGATATTTTTGAAATATAGTAAGTGTGTAGTAGACATTTAGTATATGTGCTGCCGAAGCGAGCACTGTAGTAGACATTTAAAAAGA